AACATTACTGAAGGCCTGAATGATCCTTTTCCTCCCACCATTGCTCACTTGAGAAGACAAAGTGTGACTGACACAAAACGATTTTAACCTGTTCTCTTTCTAGCTGAATAACTCTGGATAGGCATGTAATTGTGTGACCGATGTAATTATTTATGAGTTCGGTTTGATCAGGAAGACAAATCGTAAGGGGCACCTTAATCCAGACACCTTACATTACACCTATCTGACCAGAGCTCTATTAAAACCCATTTAAACACACACACAAACCTACCAGACCCCATTCGAAATATACTAGTAGAAAACACAAATATAATAACTTCATCCACCTGTAAAAAAGATTAAAAATAATGAAAGCATTAATAATAAAAAAGAAAAGGCCAATTCTTAACAATATTAATTACAAACATGGTAAATGTGGTAAATGTGTTCGGAAAATAAAACATCTCTATAACACAATAAGGATACATATAACAGACACACTCGTTTAAACTGAAAAATAAAATCATCCTTGATAATGGCTAAAGTTATAGCCGAAAGCGGTTGGAATTACAGAACATTTAGACAGTTTTTACACACCCTTTGTCCAAAAAAGAAAGCATTGTTCGAACACAAGAAAAATTAAATAAAAATCTTAACCGTAGTACCTTGTTTGTTGTTTTTAATGAAAAATGCATATATATAGATATATATATATATATATATATATATATATATATATATATATGAGTACTTGGAAAATGAAAATGAAAGAAATTTAAACAGCTATAGCACATTTCTCTCATCCTTTAACATCAATACACAAATGGTTATACTCACGTATAACCTTCTGTGTATTGATTAGCAGACATAATCTTTGTGATTTATTGAATTAGACATGCCTAAAAGAGACTTTGCTGCCTAAATACATAAACATATATATATATATATATATATATATATATATATATATATATATATATATATATATATATATCTGTGTATGTTAGGAAATGGATTTAAATCCGAAAGATTTTTAAATTTGTCAAACGTTATTTTTAAATGGATACTCATATTTTAGTAGATGCTCTGTTTTTATTTATTTATTAAACAGTATATTTATTTATTTACATTTTTTTATGAATATTTGAGAAATCTTGTTAGGAAAATATGCGTCAAACGGCAGAATTCGAACTTGCGTCCCCTAGGACCTGAAGTGTTTTAGAGCAAATCGGCCACGTAAGACTTCCAGATTAAACATGCCTGAATAGTGCTATTGAACATACATCTTCTTTCCAATTCTCGAAATATCTATATCTGTTCTGCTTTGTATCCTAACGTAAAAAAAACGCCATTTTTTTAGGAAATGGATTTAAATCCAACAGATTTTCCAAAATAACGTTTAAACAAAGCAAAAAAATAATAATATATATATCTATATGCATTACTCTTCAAGTACGAATTGAGTTCTCCGGGCCACTGTCGTATTTCATATAGAAAAAAAAAGTTAAAATTTCCCTTTCTTTCAGCCGTGCGACGATATCCTAGGGGTAGAATCTCTGACTGATGTCAAATCGGTCGAGTTTTGTATATTTTATATATATATATATATATATATATATATATATATTATTAATTTAAAAATATGATTCCATCGCTACATGATGGAATCATATTTTTAAATAAATAATTATATTTAGGCTCTACTTTTGTATCGAGCACTGTTTTTTAAAAATAATAGCAAAAATACTAAAGACCTTTGGATTATTTACCTAACGAGTTCTTTCCAATTTTCTATATATTTTTACACACACACACACACACACACACACACACACACACACACACACACACACACATATATATATATATATATATCTTATGCAGCGTTATATTAGAACATGCCCATATCCGCTACAAAATTGTACATTTTCGTTTCAATGTCAAAAAAGGTAGAACATTTTTTAGACGTCTCATCAAGTGGGGAGCCCCGCTGCCTAATTTAAATAAATATTTACGGGTCTACTTTTATGTATTGAGCACTATTTTAAAATTAATGTTCTGAACGCTGTAATCTTACTGTTCGTTCTCCTACAATTTGATATATATATATATATATATATATATATATATATATATATATATGAACAACTACAAAAGAAAAACTTATCTTTAATAGCGCAAATAGTAAATGATCTTTGTGAGTTTCGAGGTGTTATTGTAAAAACTAACAACTTACGACAATAATTCAAACCAATTGAACTATTGCTTTGTTTTTGGAAGGAGACAATTGCTATTTACTGTTGATCATTTATCATAATTCCCTCAGAGCCCGCGCAAGGAATAGTAAAATTATATTATATTATTTATATGTTTTTGTGTGTATGCGTGTGTGCGTTCAGTGGAAAAGAAGAAAATGAATAAATATTCAAATGATTTATCTTTCAACGAAAGATTTCACAGATACACAGACCCGCTCGTCACGGTAAGATAAATCTATTGAATTCATTAACATATTTCGCAGCCATTATTACTTATGTTAAATACGTCGCATAAAAAATACGTGAAATACTGACGTCAAGAAAGTTCTAAATTTGCTCTATATTAAAAACGTTATAATGTGATAACATTATAAATATATTTTTCATTGTAAGCACTAGCATCCGTAATCTTAACACCGCTATCTTTATCTGAGGATGTAACCAGTCTTGTTCATGGATAGTGTTTTCACTGTATTCACGTGTATTGTTGGTAATGCTTAATTTTCATTTGTTTTAAAGTGTCGGTTATAATCCCTTGTATAAACACCTTATCGAAGTCAGTGATGTTTTGTCAGTGATATTTTGTCTGTGATTATTTTTATTATAGTACCTATGATATCGCTATTTACTTCCGGTCGACAATTTCATCCGGCAATTGAGAGCAAGTCCGAAACCCTAACGGCGGATTTTGACGTGATTTGGTTGTTTTTCCATTTACTATTTGCACATATCTAATTTTTATGAATTTAAGCGCAGTACTAGATTGGCAACAAATTTTCATCATTTTACAGTTGAATTGAATTTAACCGTAAGTTCTATGCTGAGTGTTTCTTCTCTTCCGGCTTCTTGTTTTCCAGCTAATTTTGATGTACAAAAATTTAAATGCACTGAAAATTGTTATCTACTCTTTTCTTGATTCTTCTTCTTTTATTCTTTTCGCTCCTTAATAATGTTTTCTATTTCGTATTCTTTCACACTCAGTAACACCTTGTGCTTTAATGGCTTTATTTCCTTGCTTGGGGTGAAATGATTAAAAAACTTAGTGAAGTTTGTTTATTTATTCAATATTTATTTTAGAGATTTTTCGTCAGCTTTCGATATTCGAAAGGATATTCTCCGGTCGTATTTTCAGTCAAAATATTCCTTCTTTTTCCAAAGCTGTTCGTTCATACTGAGTTCATCAACTAAGGAAATAATTTAAATTTGTGCATATTTTGGGAATAAGTCGTATGAGGTTTCTAGTATTTTATGTTTACATTTCAGCTTGACATTTTTTGCGATACCTTTTAGCAGAAAATATCCGCTGCTTCTATAAAAATGACCTTCGTTTCTGTTTAAATGTAGGTTTGTTTTTCTGTTTTCCATGTCAACAATGTGAAAAGTCACGTTGTTTCATCTTAATTTCACTTGCTTTTCATTGAGTTGTATTCGTAGTAATAATATTATCTAGAATTTTTTATCACATGAAGCATTGGGCTTTATTAATTTTGATTAGTATTTCTTTTATTTTAATTTCAGATTCATTTCAGCTAATAGTATTATTATAATAGTATTATAGTATTATCTTGAAACTATTAAATGAATCAATTATTATTAATTTTGAATAGAATGCTTTTAATTTCAGTTGATTTTTGTTGCAAATTTTAGATTATCATTCAACGATCCCTTGTAAGTTGCGTGAAAATAAATATTTATAAAAATGAATAACTGAAAATGGTTCATATAAGAAATTCGAATAATATTACAATTAACACTACGAGTGTATGAAGAAAAATAAGGCGCCTCAGGAATAATAAGGAAGAAAAGTATATAGCTAAATTTGAATGATTTATAGTTGCTGATCTTCGTAGTCTAATCGGGGAAGCAGCTGTTACGCTGACAGATTCCAGAGGACAGCGGATGATAGTTCATGTTCTATTCGTTATTTCAGGACAATGCCGAATAGTAACGAAAATAGAATGTCGATCTAGATATTTCAATGAAGAATAAGTGAAATCTTTTTGAAAAAAAAAACAAATACTTCTGGTTAAATACTTTTCGAAGCTTCAAGACCGAAACTAGGACTTTTAACAGAAAATCACATTTATATACGTGATTTATTTTCTCATTTAAAGTTTTTGTTGTTTTTCGGCAGATTTTATGAAATTTCTTCTATTTTCTTTTACGACGTTTCTCAAATTTCATTTTGTCGATTTGCGAAACAGAATCGTTCGCATGTTCTTAATTTTAACCTTTGCTTTCAATTCTGTGCCATCAGCTGGAGACAAAAGGTTATTTTGTGTCACAAGTGAAATAAAAAATAAATCCAGACAACGAGAATAATATCGTAGATGACATCTGATCCCCAGCGACACGAAGACGTTGGCCGATCACATTGCCTGAAACAAATTAAATTTGTATCAAGAGATTTTGTCTCAGGCGACGGGGACAAAGGGTGACGTGAGAAGAAGAGGTAAAATGGAAGATTTGGAAAAAAAATGTTAGTTTTAGGTCTCCTTATGCGTTATACAATGTTAAGAGACTGGGATAAAGACAAGAGAACTAGTTTGATTAATAGGTCCGTTGTATTAGATTAGCTGAAATTTGATCTGAAATTTCCGCTGTATAATGTTCAATCTATGTGATTATTAGGTGTAGGGTTAATAAACATATAAAGAAGGATATTATGTTGAAAAATGAATATAGGTTGAGCAAAATAAATACATATTCATCATTAAAACTCAGGAATTACAGACTTAATTATGTCAATATAATATACGAAGATCATATAGATAGATAGATAGATAGATATGAATAGACAGATATATAGATACACGGATATGAACATCCATAGATAGATAGATAGATAGATATGAACAGCCATAGATA